CAATAGTTGTTATACAAATGAAATAGTTCTGCTCCTACTCTTTATGTTACTTTTAAAATGTGACTTTATCACATTCTTGTTGCCAAAAAATAAATGATTACAGGTAAACCGTGCAACAGATTTACCTAGTATAGTGTAGTATTTTGAGTGCTAGATTGCTCAACGGGTTGCCAGGGCAGATGGCTGCTGTGGCACAGGAAGAGAGGGCTCCAGATCTTCCCGGATGATCCATAGAAGAGGTAAATATTTAAAAACTGTTTTAAGGATGTTATGCCCTTGTTCTAGTCTGGTTCATGTGTGGTTTAGATCTGGTTTAGGTCTAGCTCTAGTGTGGTTCAGATCTTCCCGGATGACCCAGAGAAGAGTTAAGTTTTAAAAGCCATTTTAAAGGTGTTGTCCCCTGGCTCATGCCAGACGTTGTCCGGACTGTTCACACCAGAACCAGGGTGTGGGACATGTGTTGTCTGAACAGGATGACACTAGAACAGTGGTGGGGATGGGCCTTTTGGCCCATGAAACAGGGGCCCAGTCTAAAAAATTGAACCTTCCCAGCCTCTGGTTCTAAATCTGCTGATGTAGGAGCTTATCGCATAAGCAATTAAAGCAGCTTACTTGAGCCAATTTAAAATAGGTGGCATCCTGATTTTATCACAAGGATTTAACCACTGAAATCGCCTCCCAGGTGCAGCCTGGGCCCATCCCCGCTCCCAGGACTGCTCTGGCGTCTGCTTCCTTAAGCCGGAAAACCCCCAACTTCTAAAAAAGCCACACTGAGCACCGCTGGGAGCAGGGACGGACCTGGGCTGTCCTTGGTCAGTGATTTCAGTGGCTAAATCCTTGTGATAAAATCAAGATGCTGCCCTTTTTAAATTTTAAGCCAGCTCAGGTAAGCCGGTTTAACTTGCTTATGCAATAGTCTCCATAACTGCTTCCCTCTATAACTGGCTTTTTCAAGTGAATGCTATTTAAATTCTTTATTCCTCAAATAAAAGGACAGGAGAGTTAGGCAGAATGGCAAAGGAAACATGAACAAATGATAAGCTGAACCTCGATGTCTGAAAAGCTCAATTCATGGATGAGTTGTTTGTGTCTTTAAGCACTGCAGGTGGTTTTGACATCCTGCTTTGACTTAACATACAGTAGGCTGCTTTTTCAAGGATCCATAGATGTCTGCAGCCATGGTTGCAACAATTTACTTGTTTATTATAAGACATTCTTGCTCTGGTGAGCTTGAATTAGATGATTTTCATGTGAATAGTTGGGGGCATGTTGAGAGGAAGAAGGATTAGTGATGCAGGCATAATCTTAAGAAAATGAGTTCTGTATCTGAATTTCATCATGTTACTTTCACAAGGTGTACATGCACTCAGGAAAGCATATGTAGTTACCCTCCTTGTGATTTATAGGTTTATTAGAAATAATTGTATGTTTGGGATCAAGACGTGCTGTCTCTCAGTTGCAAAAGTGCATATATACATTGCTCATTTTTCATGTTGGATATACTGAATTTATATTTAAAAACAATGTACTGCATCAATCTATGGTAATGATCTTTCAAAAAAGGAATGACAGATCCAAGCATTCTTTATGTCTTTGAATACCATGTCTCTTTATTCTAGTAGTTACATTTTTAAAGACTTAGAAGGATACATGATTGTCACATCTGGTTCATAATGCAATGTCCCAACCAGCCCTTCTGGTATAGTGACTCCAGACACAGGAAAGGATGATTTCAAAAGTGTTATATGAAACTACAGAGGGAAAGCATAGAATGTGGTATTATAATTCATAATCACAGCCCACCCCCAACTTAACTTTTAAAATCAAATTTCTAACAGCTAAAGCTATGACACTTATGTGAGCAACGTCTGGTGAAATTTTTGAAGCAGGAGATTTGTCATTTAGGATTTCCAGTGGGGAAATGCTCAGTGACTTGCATTGCTCCTTCCTCCATGATCAGAAAGACAGTAAGTGATATAAAATGTAAATCTCCTTATAATTTGCATAATAAACATAGGTTGTAGAATTCTTGTTCTTTCCTTTCTGCCCAGCATCTATTTTTTCTAGCTTCAAAAATTTCACCAAATTGCTGATATACAGTTCTAGCCTAAACAGTCCTAGTTCCAATAGTCCTAGACAAGTATTGAAACTTATCATCCCTACAAATTGTGGGTGTGTGTATGTGTGTTCAAGTTGCTTGTTGACCTACAGTAACCCCATGAATTTCATAGGGTTTTCTCAGGCAAGAGGTGGTGTTGCCAGCTCCTACCTCTGAAATAGAGCCTATAGCACAAGGGTAGGCAACCGTTCCACTTTAAGGGTCGAGGGACTTCAGCTCCCAGAAGCCTCAGCCATGTTGGCCAATAGTCCCATGTTGGCCAATAGCTCCTGGGATTCTGGGAGCTGAAGTCCCTTGGCCCTTAAAGGGGAAAGGTTGCCTACCTCTGCTATAGCACCTGGTATTAATTGCAGTCTCCCATCCCAGTATTAACCAAGGCTGCCCAAGATCAGGCATATTCTGGTGCTTTTAGGGTATTTGGGTCCTGCTCACCACAGGTTACATTATAATATGTTAATTTAAAAAGAACAAATCACACATAAGGCCATTTAGGAGTCAGACATATTCTGAGCTACTTTTTCTGGACATTCACCCAGGCCTCCAAATGTGCTGCCTGTTCCAGGGCCTGTTAGCACTTCTTTCAGTGAATTTTCTGTTGCTTCCGCCAAGTCCTTCAGCATATTTGCTTTTTTCATTCATAGCCTTCTCCTGCAATTATTTGCGGATTGGAGGAAAACCAGACAGCGGTATGGTCATACTCCTGAAGGTTGTACAGGAGATATAACACTTCCTTTTGGGCAGTGAAGATGACACACTCCTTTTGTCTCATTTTATTCATTTCCCAGCATCAACTAGTTTTTTAAATGCCACAGTAAACCCAACAATTTAAAAGAAAATTGCTCAGTGGAATGCCCTTCATTGGTGTGCCTTTTCCAGTTGCAAAGTGACAACATGATGGCATGGCAACCCCCAGCCTTAAAACATGTGAGTTGCAACTCACTGAATCTGTGACCCTAGCGCCACCTGAGATATAATACAGATAAAGATAATGATGCAACAGAAAACTGATGAAGAAATGGGTGTTCCAGACCAATTTGTTTGGTAGCAATAATGTGGCTGGAAAATCATGAATCAAAACTTTGAAATGTGGATGTAGAGTGAGGGCTGAATATAAGAAACCACACATTGTTATTGGTGGTGCTGTGTGCTTTCAAGTCATTTCTGACTAATAGCGACTGTAAGATAATTTGTTCAGTTACTCTGCGTCCCAGTTCTGGGGAAAGAGTGGGATACAAACAACAACAACAGCAGCAGCAGCAGCATTATTGTGGTGTTTTCTTGGCAAGACTTGTTCAGTGGGTTTTGACATTAGGTTCCTAGATGCATTAAATTCAGTCAGAGAGAGTGTGACCTGCCTGTGGTCACCCAGTGGGTTTCCATGGCTGAGTGGGGATTTGAACTCTGATCTTCCAAAGTCAATCCAGCACTCATACCACTGCACCACATTGGCTCTAAATTAAATGCAACAGCACCACACAGAAGTGGTGGGATAAGAAATCAGTATGTAGTAAGAAATCAATAATGTTGGAGAAATTGGAAAGACTACTGAGATTATCGCACCACCAGTTCCGCGCAGGGATAGATGCGGTTGTCCCATGGGAAAATCCCATTCTTGAAAAGCTGTGGGAGAAGCCTCGATTGGATACAGGCTGCCTACTGCCCAGCCATGAGGCTATCTGATAAGATCTGTCTGTTATGGTTACAACATGCATGTATTCCAGCATTCAGGAGTCTTTCCTATCTTTCCAACACCCAACAATTCTCCCGGTGGGGTGTTTTTGTCAAATGGTTGGGGAACCTCTGGGCCTGTGCTCTGTCAATGTAGTAAAGGAGCAAATGTGAAGGTGATTGTGACAGTAATCCTTTCTACCTCCTGACACTTGGTCATCTTTTATCTCCATGTTTAATCCTCCCTGCATCAGTTAGTACATTCTCCTTTCTTCTTCCCCATAACACCTTCAAATCTCTGTAAGCAGAAAGTGAGGGTAGAAAAAGGGTGGGATAGGTTTTGTCTTGAGCAATGAGGTGACAACTAGGGAGAGGTAAAGGCTGCTTATTTATTTATTTGTTTGTTTAGAAAAATTGCTGAGCAGTGCAGATTATCCTTTACAGAGCCTCACCTCCACCCATTTGGACTGCAATTGTTGAAAGGAACAGAAAGAATCCGAACTGAATTGAATTGTGGTTAACACCACAATTTAAAAAAAACCTCTGGCTTGCAAGCAAAGCAAAGCAAAGCAAAGCAAAGCAAAGCAAAGCAAAGCAAAGCAAAGCAAAGCCTTCCTGGACCATTTTTAATTCACCACTAGATGAGTGATAGTATCAGAAATGCTTGTTTGACCAACCATTTCTTATCATGAGACAAAATAGTACTGCAGTCACAAATTCTGCTCTGAACTCATTGCCAGTACAAAACTTCCTTTCCTTTTTGACATGATAAATACAGGTGTTTTGGGCATTGCATTAATTATTCTGCAAAGTAAGTGGTGGGGAAATTAAAGATGTTTTCCCAAGGAAGGGGAGGAAGCAATAACACTTACTGCAGCTTTGTTGTTGCTGCTGCTGTTGTGGGTGCCTTCAAGTAATTTCTGATATATGGTGATCTTAAGGCGACTCTGTCACTGGGTTTTCTTGACAAGCTTTGTTCAGAGGAGGTTTGCCATTGCCTTCCCCTGAGGCTGAGAGCATGTGACTTGCCCAAGATCACCCAGAGGGTTTAATAATAATAATAATAATAATAATAATAATAATAATAATAATAATAATAATAATAATAATAATATATTTATTTATTTATTTATACCCCGTCCCTCTGCTAAGCAATCAGGGCAGCTTTCAACATTAAAATCCATACAGATAAAATACAATCCAATATATACATAGTCAAAGCAGGGAATTGAACCCTGGTCTCCAGAGTCGTAGTCCAAGATTTAAATCACTGCACCACTCTGGCTCTCCTTACAGGACATATATCCAGGGCTAACTAGCTGTGCTGGCTATGCAGAAAAAAAATAGCAAACTTCGAAAAACACATTGTGGAGACATCTTTAACAGGCCAACCAAAACATGCAAAATACATTGTGCAAGCTTCTTCAACAGCTATGGACACTAAAAGCCATTTTGGGAGAAGAAATGTGATGATGTAGGATCACAAATTTGTATCTTCCTCGAGATGTTTTAGAGATGCAGTTTAACCAGGTACGTATTCCTTTTCTGCATAGTCAAATCCACTCCATAAACTAGGGTTTAATCCAATTGTAGGTCCAAGATTACAGTGCCATGGATTTGATTCCTGAATGGCAAGTTAACATTTATGTCAATCCCATTGATTCAGTGGCATTTAATCTAGTTGGTTTCTGCCTTGTTCATTTAGCTTCATATTGTCTGGTCTGACTGGCAGATATTCTCTTAAGCCCTTGGGCAAGCGTCTTTTACCCAGGGCCAGCCCTACTATTAGGCAGAGTGAGGCAGCATCAGGCAGCTGATTTAGAGTGTGATGAAAGGGCTGCAAACAGTTATGTAATTTGCTGTTAGATTGCTAACATTTGCTGATTTATTGCTTATAGCATTTGCTACCTCTTAGTCTCAAAATAACTTGCCTGGTATTGGAAACTGTGCACTCAACTTGGATGGATAAGCAACACTATTTGCTTCTCTGCCTCAGGCAGCAAAACGTCTCATGCCAACCCTGCTTTCACTCCATCTGCTTTCTGATTCTTAACCCCCCACACCTTGCACCCAAATAAACTAGAACTGCCAGGGACTGAACAGGGACTTTCTGCTTCCATGGCATATGTCCTGCCACTGGGAGATTTAATTTGCTTCATGAATGTGATGGATTCTCAAAACAAGGACTGCTTCATGTGTTAAAATTATCCATAGATACACCCACTCTCTATGTATCCTGATGGCTTTGGAAATTTAAAAAGCAAAGATGTTGTCTTATGGGTATTCGTGAATGATAGAGTGGTTGGGGAAGGATTAGCTGTGGTTCCTGTCTATGTGATGGTGATACTGTTGACACACATCATTGCTAGTGTGTAATATATGGAACAAATGAAGCAACAGGCAGCCATATTCTTGAATCTGTAGCACTGGAACGTAAGGTGGGACAATGATGACCTCCAAAACCATACACATCAACTTTTGACAATTTGGTCCAAAACACACTGCAGAAATATCCTGTTTGAAACCACTTCAACTACCCTGGATCAATGCTAGGGAATTCCGGGAACTGTAATTTTGTGAGACATTTAACCTTCTCTATCAGAGAGCTCTGGTGCCACAATAAACTACAATTCTCAGGATTCCCTAGCACCGAGCCAGGGCAGTTAAAGTAGTCTCAAACTGGATTATTTCTGCAGTGTGTTTTGGGCCTCTGTTTGGTCCTGTCTAGTGTTGGTTTTCCTTACGTCAGAAGAAAACGTTCAGATTTCTTCCCTTGCTCCCCCATTGTCTACTTTGCCTTTCTTTCTCCCCCCAGCATGTAATGTCACAACCTCACAACATTTTTGAAAGCTATAAATTTGAGCTTCAGGGTTTTAAATTATGCTGATTGCCACTGAACAGACTGTATTATTGTGGTCCTTTAAGACCAATACCTATCCAAAAGTGAATGCTACTGCCTACCAGAAACTATCCAGCAGTTTATGGAATACTGAAGCTAAGCAGCCTGTTCAGGATTGCATACATCACTCCCCACCCCAGCAGTATTTGCCATTTCTTTTCCTACAACTGAAGGTCCATCTACACTACAAAAATAATGCAATTTGACATCACCTTAACTGCTGTAGCTCAATCCTACAGAATCCTAGGATTTGTAGTTTTGTGAAGCACCAGCACTCTGCTAGAGAAGGCTAAAGACCTTGCAAAACTACCCATCCCAGAATTCCAAAGAATGGAGCTAAAGCACTTAAGGTGGTGTCAAACTGCATTATTTCTACAGTGTAGATGCACCTGGAGATCTAGGAATCCATCAGAAACCTTGTTGTGAACTTCAGCAATTGCTCTGAGTAGTGAGCACTACAGGAAGTGATCTTATCCTACCACAGCACATCTTAAAATACTACCAAGGTTGAAAGTGTGCAAGAAGAATGAGAAGCTCTGTATCCAAATCCCTTTTCCAAATGTCACCCACTGTCAAAAGGCAATTTAATGCCAGTTCACAGATTCTGGTGTGGATGTCTCTGCCTTTGGGCAATTATTAACATGTGCTTTTCACATGCCATAGTGAGCATGTGAGGTGCATTGGGGATAGAGAGCAGCGACATTGGCAGTGGTGTACCAGAAGCTTAATCCTGCTCACAGTGGGAGCTGCAGGTGAGTGAATGCAGAGTTTTCCATGCTCTCCTTGCAAGCTGCCATGTGCCCAACTGTCTCACAAATCGGTGACTAATTTCCTAGTTTTTTCCCAGTCTTTGGGATTATCTACCTTTTCTGCCAGTTGTGCAATTTAGATCAAAGGGCATGCCTGGGGTATCTATTTTAACTGGGCATGCATTTGTGCTGAGAAGAGATTAACCCTGGCGCAACTGCTGGCAACACATAGGTTTCAGGCAGGGTCTTAGCATGCCAGACGCAAGGGATTAATGAGTTAATTCGCCTGCGCACAGCTGAATAGTAATGCTTTTCCCCTCCCACAACACATGAGACGTTAGCATGCTTTCACATCCATTTGTTCAAGTCAGGTGGAGGGGCTCTTACTAGGCATTGAGCAGAGCTGTCAGTGATTCAGGCAGTCCAACTCCCTTGAAAGTCTCTGCCTTAGATTGCACACAAAGGAAAGAATGTCAGCCAACCTCTCTCGCTTTCTGCAAGCTTCTTAAAGGGGTCTCTGCATGATCCATCAACACAGCTGAATCTCTGATACCTTCAGTGCAGCGGATCTATAGCTTCTCTTTCTCCACCAGGCTTTTGAACTGTCAGAGGGAAAGCCAGGGGTATCCTGATGAGGTGCAGTGTTGTGCAGGAGCTGACAAATAGCTAAATGGATATCCTTGGTCTCCTGAGACTTGCCTGTGATTAGATGTTCCTTGAGCTTTCCAGCTTTGCATCATCAGCATTTCATGGTCCAGAGTGTGCTCCAGACACATCTTGCAGTATGCCTGCATTGATTTAAATCCAGCAACTAGAGGCAAGCCAGCACTGAGACGGAGTGGATACTGCTGCTTTGGGTTAACCATGAAGATGCAGGCTCAGTATTTCTGAAAGCAATTGACCTCATGGGGAGTTCTTTGTAAGCATTGGAAAAACTCTTTGCAGGAGAAGGGGAAAAAATTGGGGAAGCAGGCTTCCATTCTTTTCATTAATGCCAGTGCAACTTCAGGGCTTGGCTTGACTCCTGGCATATCAGAGAGCTGTGCTCACTTCCAACCTGCATCGAGATCCAGGTACTTGAGTTGGAGTGCACCTTTGAAGACTCCTGGGCTAAGGACTGACATCTTCAGTTCCCTGTGATCCTCCTTCCTTGTCCAAGGGAATTTTTTTCTGTTCTGTAAAGGAAAGCTTGGCAAGGCAGAAATGCAAGTCTCCATAGCATGCACAGAGCACAACCTCAAGAACCGGAATGGGGAGGACAGACTCATCAGCAAACAGAACACCAGTAACCCAAATGCTGTCAATGCCGCCCGGGCAAAGTTCCGGACAGTGGCAATCATTGCTCGCAGTTTGGGAACCTTTACCCCTCAGCACCATATTTCTTTAAAAGAGTCCACTGCCAAGCAGACGGGCATGAAATATAGGTATGGACATACTATTTATTCACCTTTGTGTTTTGGTGTGTCCCTCTTGTCTATCCCTCTGCATGCTTTTGAAAGTTTATCTGCTGACAAAGTTCCCCTTTGTCAAAAACCAAAAACAAATCTCAAATCCATTTTTAGAGATGAGGTCCACAAAAGTTTGAACCCTTCAGAAAAAAAATGTAAGTGCAAAAGGTTGCATTTGGGGGTGAGGAGTATTCCAAGTTTTGCTATTCATGTGAGTCTTGCTAAATAAGTATCTATATTAGTGGGGTTGCAGGGTGCATTTGGAAAAGATCCAGTTGTACTCAGGACTTTGAATTAACAATTGACACTTCAGGCTCTGGTTGGGAAAAAGTTTGCTTCTCAAAGCACCTGCTGGGGAGAAGAAGAAGAAGGGGGGAACTCAGCATCTGTCAGCCTCAGTTAGATATTCTTTTGTAATCTAATTACTAATCAAAGGGCTGAGATTGACTTGCTATTTAAGGACAGGGAGGAATTTGCTTTGAGTAAAAGGCAGCATGTGATGCAGACAAAATAATAAGCACATTTCTGAACATATCATGTGTTAAATAATTAGTTCCTTCACCACGGAGGATGAGGCAGAATAACAATGATCCTTGCTAATTTCTCATCTGGAGTTTGTTTATGTTGGTAAAGTATTTAAGAGGATGTCTTGTTTGATAAATCAGTCAATTATAATTAATTTCAAGCACTCCATGTATAATTTATCAGTTCTGTCAAACATTGGACATCTCATGTGATTCATGTCAGAATGGCTTTGTCTCTTAAAGAGGAGACGGTAAGAGACACATTCTCATACTTTTGCAAGCAAGAATTTACTGCAGCAATGTAGTGGGATATTGTTGCACTTTAGACCCAAGAGGTTTGGGTTAAAATTTCAAGGCACATGTGGGGATTTAGGAAATTCATTCCTATAGTGCATTCTTATGTGTGTGTGCTTAGAACTAAGTCTCACTTTCTTCAAAGGGCTCACTTCCAAGTAGTATTGCAGCTGTGATCTTAGTCAACTGTTGGGTATTGCTGACAACCACAGAGGATGGTCATTGTTGAGGATGAACAAGATAAATGTGGTGAAAGCATTTTCTTTGCTAAAATGTGGCTTTTGTTAGTAAGTTTTCTATGGGTGGTAAATGCTAAAATGGTCAGAATGTGGCATCAAAGTTTGTGGCAGCTTGGAGCTTTCCATATATAT